AAAAGCTAGGTTGGAAAATACCTTTTTAAACTCCAGTCAGTTTGACTTTCTGGCCTGTCCCCTTCTCCCTTCTAAAACATTGCCCCTTCAATTATTCCCTCTTACTCCCATACTACTCATTTCTGCCTTAACCTGTAAATATGCTCATCTTACCAATCTTAAGGAAAAATTAAAACACTTTCTTCAACCATGAAGCTCACCAATGCAGTCCTTTTTGCTTACATGTGCTCAGAATTAAGCTCTACCAAGAGCAGCCTACTCCCTATATCTCCACAGCCTCATTTCTTACTTATTCCTCAAATCCTCATAAGACTTGGACTTGTATCCATACCATCAAGCACCCATCATCCCACTAACCTTTTTTGTTCAAGGCTCTCCCCTAGTATTTTTACTGGTTTCTCATATCCCAACTCCCGCACTGCCCATCACAAGTCATTTAAACACTGATATTCGGTGGGTTCAATTCAGAACCCTTCACTCTTTTCTTGTCTCTCTATACTCTCTTCCTGAGTGATCTCAACCATTCCCTTTATTTTAACCAAGACCTGCACAGTGATGACTAGAAAATGTCTCCCTGATGTAAACCTCACTCTTCAACTGTGGGTCTGCATTCAGCTACTTACTAAACATCCCCCACATACATCTCCACAGGTATCTCAAGCTTAAAATGTCTGAAACTACTGAAATTACCATCTAAGCAATCATATTCATTCCCTAATTGCCTTGTCTTCCTTTCTTTATTCTCCTTCTTAGTTAATGACAACATTATCCCTCAAGTGAGATTATAGTTCAGTCCAGTCAGCCTGAGAAAGCTGACTGATAAGAATAAAACAACAAAAAAACAATAAATTTCAGTCCAATCTGAGCTCCCACTGTGAGCCACTACTGTGCTAGAATGCACGGACACCAAAACAATTAAGTCATGGCCCGATTACTTAAGGAGATAATTCCATGAGGGAGACAGTTCAATTAATAAAATTATGTACATTGTATTTAATTCTGATAGAAAATGTTACAAATTTTATAACTTGTTCAAGTGCCTATCTCTCAAATGAAACCAAACCTAACTCCCTGAAAACAGAGATTGTGTGTTTTCTTTTAATTCTAAGCACATAATAGGCACTAAGTAACTAATGAGTGAATGGATGATACTAATGAATTAAAAACACAGTTGTACTGCCATAAGATACTGAAGCACGATGTTTTTCTGTACTTGAGAATCGGATTCAACTAAAAAAGTTTGGACATATCACTTCTGCAGTCTCAAAATAATATATATTGCTAAGCAATATTTTAGATTATTTGATTGGCAGTGTTACCCTAATTCTCTTTGAGTCTCTAAATCCTGTAAGATGATTTCAGAATCTCTGTATTGCTACTTCAATTTTTACAGGTATTTTGTATTATCTCCCAAATTAGTTTTATTGACAAATTTAATTAAAATGCTATTCATCATTCCTCTTTCCTCATCAGAGGCAATAAACAAAATCAGACCTAATAATGATCTCAGTATCAACCTCCTAGTGTCCATCCACCTCTATGTAACATTTAAATTACACCATTCATGCAAATCAATTTTTTTCTAACAAAATTATTATTACAATCTCTCAAACCAAATATTATTATTTCCTGTTTAGAACTAGGCAAAAGGAAGATAAAACAAAAACATTACATTTAGACAAGCAAAAGCAACAATTCAATATTCTTGAAAGGCTTATCGCAAGGTTACTTTGTAGAACAGGAAGTGTCAAACTATGCACATCAGCTGCCACCCGACATATAGATGTCTCTGACATGGCAATAAAATGAGAAACCATTTGGTTTAATAATAATAAAAAAGCAACATCAGTGGGTGCACATTACATGTAGCATCTAGTCCTGGTTGCCTAGCAACCAGTCATGAGTGAACTCCACAGAGAATAAAAGCCCTTAAATGAATGTACAGTTTGTGTAACTTTCAAGGACTCGAAGAGATGTGTCAGTAGTTAATCTAAATTCTAGTTGGCAATTACCATACTCAGATGGAGGAAGGAGAATCCATCATCATCTCTCAGAATCAACTGTGAGATTAACTAGAAGCGAGATTCTACCCTTTAGGTTTTTACCTTTTGAACCAGTGGTTTTCTAGGAAAAAAATATGACAGTATGATTTATAAATTATAAAAACTTTATGCAGAAAAAAACAACAAAATTTCACTAATATAACTTACATTCATTCATTCAACAAAACATACAATACCTATCATACACCAGATACTGTCTCAGCTACTGAAAACACAAATATGAACATCACTTTACAAGCTTTCAAACATACTATAATGGAGAAATCAAACAGTAAACAAACAATAACAATATCAAAAATTCTGTAATACAGAGGAAGGCATGGGATATTATGAAAACATCTATAAAAGACTTCCAATTCAGACTACGGAGGTGAACTAATTAATGGTCAGGGAAAACTTATCAGAAGAGGTAATGCTTGAGGTGAGTCTTAAAAGACAAGCAAAAGTTATTGTAAAAGCGGAGCATGGGGAGAATATAAATAGATTTGCATATTTATATACATCTACAATATACTTTAAATATAAATAAAATATATATTATATATTTAAAATATTTTAAAATTGTATTAAATACATTTAAAATACCTTGAAATTATATTAAATACATTTAAAATGTTTAAAATTATATATATAGTATATATCTATAAATTTACATAAATAGAAGTGGCAGTAGGAAAAATATTCGGAAGGTCATAGAGGTGAGTGAGCAAAAAGCATGTTGTGTTAAAGGAACTTCATGGCATTTGATGAAATTAGGATCTCAGTGTTAAAACAGGAGTCCAAAGAGACAGCCCAGGCCTCTTCCAGAAGGACCTCTTATGCCAGGCTAAGAAGTCCTGGCTTCCTCCAGAATGAAATTGGAGAGGCAGAGATGGGTCTTAAGCCAAGGAATAATATAAACACATATGGCAATGATGTAAACTATATTAGAAAGGCCAAAGCAAACAGACAAGAGGCTATGATAGCAAGAGACATCAACTGGGAGCCTGAGGGAATTACTAGATGATTTTAATGAGGGGTGTGGTTAACTCAACTCAAGAGACAAAACTGCCAACAGAGTTGAATGCGGCAGGTGGGCATTACACAAGATACTCAAAATTAATTTCTGAGATTCTTAACTCACTGACACAGAGCTCTAGTAAATTTAACAATCATGTATAAATGTTGTTATATATGAAAATGTATGCTATTCAGTCCCTGCTGAAATATTAGATTTGATCAACCCTCCCTTCTTCCTAACCCAACAAAACAATTATACAAAGGTTATAAAGCTGTCTGGGAAGGAACAGTTACTGGAGAGCAGGAAGAAAAGGCAAGGAAAGGGGAGAGGGGAGGAAGAAATAAAGGAAAAATAAAGAAAACTAAAAGATACCAGAAAGTAAAATCTATCCACACTTCTGAAAGAGAAGTTTAAAAAGAATTTTTCAAAACCATAAAGGAAAACACTATTGGTGCTTGACTATATAAAACTTGAAAATGTAGGTATGTTGACTAATACAATTTTAGAATTTTAGAAAAACAGTATGTAACAAATACAACAAAGAGTTACTACCCTTTAAAGTATGTAAGAGCAAATAAGATCAGGAGATGCTATCAATAAGTGAGCAAAGAATACAGGTAGTCAATCCCACCTCAAAATAAGGAAAATGAATTATTATTACCAACAAAATGCACAGGATCACAATAGTATCTCTATGTCTAACCCATTAGCAACTGTTTTGACTGCCCTATCTTGTTCAGAGTATAGTAACATGGCAGTCTTATACAAATATGAGTGTATAGGTAGAACAGGATTTTGAAAAAGAAATATACATACATACTTAAATCTTTAAAATGGTTCACACCCTTTGACAAAGTAATTTCAATTCTGAAAACCTACCCTAAGAAAATGATCTAAAATACAGATAAAGGTTAACATATAGCATTGTTTTACAGTAAGAAAAAAAACTGGAAATGGTCTAAAGCTTCCCAAAAGGAGATAAATACGCTACAGTACAGATATACAAGAAAATATAATGTAGTCACTAACAACGTTTTTAGAAAGATTTTGATACTAAGGTAAAAAATATTACAATGTTTATAAAAATGGAAAAAACTGTCACATAAACTATAATTTCAACACTAAGTAAAACACAACAACAAAAATAACAAAAACATAGAAATGCAGGGTATGGTGGCTTACCCCTGTAATCCCAGCACCTTGGGAGGCTGAGGCAGGTGGATCACCTGAGGTCAGGAGTTCGAGACCAGTCTGGCCAATATGGCGAAACTCTCTCTCTACTAAAAATACAAAAATTAACCAGGCGAGGTGCCCTGCACCTGTAATCCTAGCTACTCGGGAAGCTGAGGCACAAAAATTGCTTGAATTCAGGAGGCAGAGGTTGCAGTGAGCCGAGATCGCATCACTGCTCTCGAGTCTGGGCAACAGAGCAAGATTCCATCTCAAAAAATTAAAATTAAAAAAATTAAAATTAAAATAAAAACATAGGATAAATATTATTTCTGAGCAGTAATGATAATTTTTTCCTTTTCCTTTCCTGTATTTTCTAACTTTATTTTTTAAATAATGAGACTATATTATTTTTGTATTTAGAAATGAACTCCATCCATCTCATCTATCCTTAATAAAAGTATGCCTTAACCTTGTACTTACAAAAATAGCTCATTCGAGATCTTTCTGTAAAGTTAGTTATCTCTACTCATTTAACTTAAACTTATTGCAAGCAGTTCTGCACACTATTGTTGAATCTATCTACAGTGCCCTAAAGTCAAGGGTAACAAGTACATGGTATTAAGAACTTCAATAGGAATAATGGAATGAAAGCAAGAAAAAAAATAAGTTTTTAGTAATCGAAGGGGTTTCACCACTTTAATACACTTTATTCACTTTACTGCACTTGGATTTATACGCATAACAAGGCTGTGCCTTTATATTACCTGAGGTGGTTGAGCAGCGGCTGAAGTCTTTCATCAGACTGCACAGCAGGCAAGGACCTGGCTGTTAACTAAAAGCAGGGAAGAAAATTAGTAAAAACAGCAAAGGCTGAACACTGAACATATTTGAATACTAAATGTAAAACGAGTTGAAGAGCAGATAGGGAGGCAATACTTAAAAATATAAGGTTATATTTCTCTTTTTTCAAATCAAGAAATTATATAAAAACCTGACACATTACGTGATCAAAGTTAGCTACATGGTTCTAAGGACACAGAGTATGTCACTAAGTTTAAAAGTAAAGAAAAAGGTGAGCAAAACAGAGAGTAAAAGGGAGTGTCCTGAGTTCATGAAAAAGCATTCACTTATAAGACTATTATCTTTGTAAATAAAAATGTAAAAACTTCTAAATGTAAAATTGTATAACAACCAATCTTGTAGCACTGAGTTCTAAGATGATGAAGAAATTGGGAAGAGAAATTCTGATTTATAGCTAAGCCACTGTGAAACTGGTTACATACAGAAGTGTATGTACTTCATTCTGTCAGCCACATGGCTATAAGGAACCAAGAATATCTTTTAAGTATACAGAAGCAACTCGAAGTATTTAATATTAAAATATGACCTCAAATTGAGCTAGGAAATAAGAAGTTAGAGCCAATACTGTGTATCAACTTGACAGCATATTATCAAAATGTGAATTTCTGATCTATTTTATTACAACAATATTAATTATATATCTTATATCTCTATTTTCTTCTATGTTCTTAAGAGAATGCCGTTTTATAAGAATTTGACACAAGGAAATTAAAGACATCCATTCAAAGTAATCTGATAGTTTGAGGTAAACTTAATAAAACATCAAAACAAAAATAAAAGATAAATCTCTTCAGGATTCAATTATGATCAAAATGGTTCTCATATTTTACTAATCAATCATTTAACAATTCACAAAAAAGAACCTTAAGGCAAGCAACAAACTGAAAGATACCCTTGGGTTTATATAGTGTATCCTCTTTTTAATTTTTTTAATACATTAATTACAATTTCCTAAAAATGGAAAACAGACATTTAATTCATCAAATCTAATTATATTATGCAAATAAAAATAAAAATATCATCTAAAAATATAACTTTTTTTGAAAAAAAGTTGACCAAAGTGCCATATATGAAGTCACTTTTATTAAATAATTTCTAATGATAATGGAGAAGCTTTCCCAATTTTGTACAAGAGTCAACACGTCGACAAAGTTACTAATTTAAAATACGATAAAGTGAGACAATCTGCTGCAATTTTAGCACAATCAATACACTTTCAGTATCCTTGAGAAATGCTAAGTCTTGTATTTTGAAATATGAAAGATGTTATCAAGGTTATCAAATTCTATAAACAAAACACTTGAATACTTTAATACATCCTTTATCTGTTAATGTCAAATCCTGTTACAAAAATGCCATTTTCATTGTTCAAGAGATTTCATGTCTCAGAACCAAAGCTGTTTTCTAAAACGATTTAAATGATTTATCTAGACATTTCAAAAGTCAATTCTCTGAAAACAGAGCAGACAGAGTGGGCTTTTTCAGTCACTTCTGTCAATCTATATAGTATGCCTTCTAATCAAACTGTCTTTTCTAAATAGAGGCAAACGAAAAACACCTCAGTAAGAGCAAAGTATTTCTAGATATCTGTTCAGTCCATATAGGAAAGATTTTCAAATCTACCCCTTCCTCTTAATTTCAGTCTTCATTTCCTTTTCCCTAAACTATTAATACATCTCCAATGTTATTTCTGCTGCCATTCTTGCCCCTTCCCTAATTTATACCAAGGTCAGAGTGAAATTTTCAAAATGAAAGTTAACCATACCCCTCATTAAAATCATCTAGTAATTCCCTCAGGCTCCCAGGGTAAAGTTATTACATCAGTCTTTCATCAGACATTTTCTTAAAATTTTCCTTTTAGGCGGCATTACTGAAACAATAGGCACTGAATGAGTGACTGCCGATACAGCTTCTGCCAATTCCACAAAACACAATGACAGCACATCAGGTAGAAATTTTCCATAGCTCCAGTTTTCTGGAACACATGTGTTCGATGCTATGCATTCTCCCATCCTCCCCTTCCCACCTCCAACTTACTTTCAAGATTGAATCTAGCAAGAATGATTCTTAAGACAGGGAGAGACCAATGATCTGAGTAAAATTATTTCAAGGAAGATTTTTGAGTTTTCCAAAGATTTTCTTTTCAACTTTTAAAACAATTAGCATTTACAAAAAAAGCACGCATCTCTCCATGCTAAGGATATGAAGTAATAAAGCTATTTCAAAGCTCTTTAAAGTGGCAAACCCATCTGCTAACCTTTTGCTGACAGAATGCAAACTTCATTTTAGGAACTGTTGGCTCCATTTCTTCTGAAATTTTTCTCTGAGCTAACGTAGTTACTACTTACATCCACTGGACTGTGATTGGTAACTGCATCCCTAGCACTTGCAACACAACAGATGTTTAGTTTAGCAAGTATTTATTGAATATGTAATAAATTCAAGAAATTACAACTATGTAATTTCATTAATTGATAAAAATGAAAGTATATGTCTATATTTCATAAAGCTTTTCAAATTCCTCCTTTGAGCAAAACTAAATATAAATCAAAACTAAACGAAGTAACAATTATCAAGTCTTCCAAGAAAGCAATACACTATCACAATAAGATTTTTAGTATTTCCTCTATAACCAGAAAGTTGCATCTATCCAGGTTAAATCGACTTTGGCTTCCAACTATGTTTTAATTTTTTTTCTTTTTATAGAAAACACAACAATATACCTGACACATAAATCACCAAGAATGAAAGAGAAGGAAGATCTATCACAGTTTGCATCTGCAAAGCCTAAACGAGTTGTCTAAGTTAGGGATATTTCATGGGAACCATCATAGAAGTTGGCATAACTTATAGCTTATTTCTCATTATTGCTGAAAGGTTAGGGGTGAGTTAAGATGTCCTTTCATTATTAAAACTATATTAGCACACTGAATTAACCAATACAGTTTCCACGGTTTTTAGACAAGTATAACAGATTACTAACTCTTAGATAAATCTCATTTTAAAAATAAGTGTCACTGAGTAAATTTTGCCCTTTGACATATATTTGGTTACAAAAATAATGCATTTTACCAACTATTAATCCTCCATTAAATGCTAATAAATCAGGTGGTTACTCTAGACTTCACCACTACACAATATATCCATGTAAGAAAACTATACTTGTACCCTCCTAAATTATAAAAATAAAGAAAAATGCCCATAAATATCAAATACATTCAAAGTACAAGAGACAAAAGAGAGTCTGGAGGTGCCTGGTCCAACTTTGTCATTTTATACATTAGGAAAGCAGGTTCCTCAGGCCATAAGCAACTAGTTGCTGGCATGGCCAGAAGCCTTCACCTAATCTCAGAGCACCTCTGTCTCCTTTGAGTCCCCCACCTCTCAAAATAGGACAGCACTCTTCAAGATTCACTTTACCTCACAGATTTTTAGTCTTCAAGATTCCCAAATTTTTTCATGGAAAATTTCTTCATGTCATTAGGGATTTGGCTCAAATATCACCTCCTCACAGAGGCCTTCCCTAACCTTTGGTAAAGGGTAACTGACACTTTACCAAGGGTTGGGAATTTTATTTCTCAAGATATACTATAACAGGCACTACCAAAAGATTGACCACAACATAGTTCCTTCTTTTTTTTTTAGACAGAGACTTGCTTTGTCACCCAGGCTGGAGTGCAGTGGTGTGATCTCAGCCCACTGCAACCTCCGCCTCCCATGTTCAAGTAATTCTCCTGCCTCAGCCTCCTGAGTAGCTGGGATTACAGGTGTGTGCCACCACACCTAGCTAATTTTTGTATTTTTAGTAGAGATGGGGTTTCACCATGTTGTCCAGGCTGGTCTCAAATTCTCGACCTCAAGTGATCCACCCGCGTCGGCTTCCCAAAGTGCTGGGATTGTAGACGTGAGCCACTGCGTCCAGCCATAGTTCCTTCCTTCTAATCTATGTCTCTCTGATTTTTGGTGGAAAGGGCTGGGTCACTAACTGATTGTGAGAAATAATACAGAAATATTGACTGAATCTATACTTTCCCAACAAGGGTCTGGTAAAGCAGTAGGTATTCCCTAACCCTTTGTAAAGCAGCAGGGTATTCTAGCTATTACTCAGGTACCTCACAACATTTATCACTACCTGAAATTATCTGATTAATTTTCTGACTATGTCTTTCTCTCATCACAAGAATATAAGCTCTGTCAGGGTAGGAATCTCTTCTGTCTTGTCATCGCTTTCCCCCAGCTGTTCAGAACAGCACAATGATATGACATGCAGTAAGTACTCACTAAGTTTTGGAGACTGAATGTAAGGTTTACCCCTCTCAAATATTTCTGACAGAGGCATGAGTTTAGAAAAGTCTGCCCTTGACCCTGATCCTTTTGGTCTTACATTTCTAATTGTTTTCATTAGTAAATATGTTCTATCAAGTAGAGGAGTCATACACGTTTCTCTTTTCATTTCCAGCTAAATGGAATATCCAAGTCCTTCTGTTAAAAGGAGGGCAAGTGCACTACCCTGCAACGTAGCTGAAACTGTGACCTCCTGGTTCAAAAGAAACAAGTAGCCCCAAACTAGCAGTCCAAAACTCAAATTTTGGATTGTCATCTGAAAAATGATGAGGTTCTTAAATCTGGAAAGAGAAGCGTTATTTCTCATAAAGGGTTGCAGCCTGCCGGATGGCCATTCTGATAGGCTAGATAGCCTCTACCCAGAAGCCAGAAACAGACACTTTGAGGGAGGAGCGAAGGAAATAGGAATTTATGCTGAACAGGGTAGTCAAATACACATATTTAATAAGCTATAGGAGGAGTCATGAATATTTATGAAAGGAGAAGCATGCATACACGCAATTAAGGTTCGCGTCCCTTCATGAGTCACGTGTAAAAAATATGGCGGCATTAGCATGATCCAAAGGTGGAGCTTTCAGGCATCGGATATCAAAAGGTGAAGCAGAGAACATGAAAACCCTCACTGCGCATCCTCCATAGACTGGCCTGAACCACTCTGTGGTTAGTAAGTCTCTTGTCAGGGGGGAATGTTGGTTAACTGTTGTGTGGAAACTGCAAAAGGGAGCGTGAGCATCAGGTGGTTGGTTGATATCAGG